GTTTCGAACCCAACTGCTGGGTCAAAACAACCCAATAGCTGGGTTTGTCCCTTTTTAACCCAGCACTGGGTTATATTTAACCCAGCATTTTTTTGGAGTGCAGTATTGGTGTAAACTGACCAAATTTTCCCATTTGCCCTTTTATCAGTTACGGCCTCCTAATCATATGAACAGGTTGAATACGTTACTGTGATCTGGGACACTTTGACTGCCACTGCATCGTTTGGATGGATGCTGCAGACAGGTGCTGGAAGAGTAGGTGAAATTATTCTCTCCAGTGTGAATTGTCATGTGAACCTCAAGGTTTGTTTCACTGTAAAGCTCTTTGCACACTGAGAGCAGGGGAAAGGTTTCTCTCCAGTGTGAAGTCTCATGTGCTGCTCAATGTTTTGTTTATATGTGAACCTCTTTATACAATGAAGGCAGAAGAAATGCTTCTCTCCTGTGTGAATTTTCATGTGACTCTCAAGGGTTTGTTTCATTGTGAAACTCTTTCCACACTGAGAGTAGGTGAACATAGTTTTTCAGGTAGCTTTGCAGGAAGGTTTCTTCAAGCATCTTGGAGATGTTGCCAAAGTTCTTCTGGGTTTAGTCTTGAGTGTTTTCTGGTTCTGTACTTTTTCTCAAGTATGGTTTTCAGGTACTCTTTTCAGGGGCAGTTGTACGTGGCCTAATGGTTAGAGAGTCGGACTTGTAACCCGAAGGTTGCAGGTTTGAGTCTCAGATCCGGCAGGGATTGTAGGTGGGGGGAGTAAATAACCAGCGCTCTCTTCCACCCTCAATACCATGACTGAGGTGAGACCCTTGAGCAAGGCACCGAATATGGCTGCCCACTGCTCCGGGTGTGCTCACGGTGTGTGTGTGTGTGTGTTTAAATGCAGAGCACAAATTCCGAGTATGGGTCACCATACTTGGCCACATGTCACTTCACTTTCACTTAACACCTCTGGTTTAACTCTCTTCACTCGAGAGAGTGTCAAGCCATTCTTCCTTTTTTAAAGAAATACAAACAATTATAGAATGCATCGCTATGAGTGCCTTCAATTCCCTTGAAGTGCTGAGAACAGAAAAGAAAAGGTCCTTAGTCCTTACCTTC